GCTGCACACAGAGGCTTTAGAAGTGGAGCTGACACTACAATTACTGGCCTAGGAAGGCCAGGCAGACCCTGCAGCCTGAACCTAACTAGGGTTGACTGTTTCAAATAAGAAACAAAAACTTCCCTGTGGATGATACAAGGGTAAGTCAAAAGTACTGTTTGTTTCAAAGCCATAGAAACCTTCCCTAAGGCAGAAATACCAAATTGTGACGCTCTGGTGTAACATCTCCTCCATCGACGGCAGGCACTTCTAGAGGTGGTTGGCCCAGCTCTCTGCCCTTAGTTGATGCCTGTCAGGACGGCAGTTCTGGCATCCTGAAGGGTCCTAAATCAGAGTCCTTTGAAATGGTCTTAAAGTTCTGGGAACAAAGAAAGTCTGAAGGGGCTTCAGGATGAATGAGGTGTGGTTCCCCCAATGCAATTCTCCGAGGGCAGCCCCTGCTGCTTGGCTGAAGGAGCAGGTGCTTTGCTGTGATGGGAAAACTCTCTTTGCACAACTTCTCTGGTCTTTTGTTGTTTTCAGTTTTCTTTGAACTCACAGGAAGCCCCTGGGTTCTGTACCCTCTGATGGTCTCTCTGTCCTGATGGTAACTGGCCCAGAAGTCCCTATTGTGATGCGACCTTTTGTTAAAGCCACCTTAAGAAGAACAACTGTATAGTTGAGAGAAATTGTCTACAGCCCTCCACTGACTGCAGAGACGTGTTTAATCACAATCTGGCATAAACTGTGCGTGTTTGAACTGGAATCCTAGTACCAATGTTGTACTTACCTTTGTATCACAGGATCCGAAGTATGCGCAATATACATCCACGATGTCCAAGAGATAAGAAAAAACAAAACACAACTGATGCTCAATGGAAAAGAATTTACATATGAGGGGTACCTCCCCCCCAAAACTATGCTCATTTGTTTTTGTGATGTGAGTTGTTTCTCCACCAGGTCAGACGTTAATCAAGCTTTCTATTTAGAGGTTCTGAAAAGATTGCATAACAGTGTGATTAAAAAAGGCCTGATTTGTGGCAGACGGGGGACTGGTTTTGCCATCGCGACAATGCACCTGCTCACACAGCCATCTCAGTGCGCCAGGTTTTGGCTAAAAACAGCATGCCTCTCTTGCCCCATGGATCTGACTCACCTGACCTCGCTCTGTGCAACTTCCTTTTGTTTCCACAAATGCAGAGGGACATGAATGGACAGCAATTTGACCACGTAGAAGAGGTGAAGGAAACAAAACCATAACAAGGAGGTGTAGTCAGCCATCCAAACAGATGAGTTTGAAAAATGTTTCCAAGAATGGAATCTCAGATTTGACAAATGTATTAAGTGTCATGGAGAGTACTTTGAAGGTGATAGGTTGTTTTGTTTAAAAAATAAATACATTCATAGTTCTGGGAAAAAAGTGTTAAGTTTTTTTTTTTGGGGGGTACCCCTTCATATGTCAGCCCTGAGATAAATCATGTCTCGGGTTTATCAGCCACCTGACGCAGCTCCTGTCACTTTCTTCTATGGCATAAAGGTACGATGGAATGGAGAGAGTGGTGGTGTTTTTCTCATCAGAGCAAGAGAGACTAAAAAAAAATTGAATAGTAAATATAGAATCCTATATCTAAAATAAAAAAAAATCACTAGATGGGCTCAATAGCAGAATGTAGGTGACAGAGGAAAGCCAATAATTATGTATCCAATCTGAAGAACAGAAAGAAAAATCTGTTTGGGCAAGATCATGACTGGCATGTAAATGACTGGGGTGCAGTCCCAGAGGAGAAAGGATTCATGCAGAAAAATATTTGAAGAAATAATGGCTGAAAAAAATCTCAGATATGATGGAACCAAAGAGGTCTACACTTCCCAGTTATTTTTGAGGCGCTGATTAAAAGACTCCAAAGCTACAACGTGAAACTGTTTAAAGAAAAAAAAGTGCATCTTAGCATGTATTTAATACCGTATGCATTTTATTCTAAGTACCAGGCCCTGCCGTGGTTACGTAGAACAGGCTCAAACACCCAGTCCTAAGGCCTAATGTTAATGCCCATCACCCCTGTAACATTGACCCAGTTCTTTCCCTGGTCTCCATCCTAATACAAGTCTTGTGCAAAAACCACGCCCGTTTTCTCCCTGCCATTCTACAATCCTTTCCTCTCAGGAGAAGAAAAACCATAATCTCACAATTTCTCCTCCCTAAAAAGTGAAACGGCTTGCAAAATTCCACCCATGTTTGCAAGCTACAAATCCAGCTGATCTCCTTGCTTTAATGAAGACTTTACTCAGTCTCCATCTGGGACAGTCTTATGTATCTTTAGGGTCCATTTCATTCTCAAGTTATTTATAAAGTACTAAGAGACTATAGTGGGAATTAAGCTTTTTTAAATAAAAACGGAAATCTCCAAGGTTTTGTGGCTTTTTCTTTCTCTTTTCCCCCATATCAGCCATTACAGACCAGTCAAGGACATACTTCTTTCCCAGAGTTTTCACCATCATATTCCAGCCTTTACTCCCGTTTCTGAAATGAAACACACAAGCCTGGGCACGCGTCTTCAAGCAAGCTTACGCATTGCTATTAAGCTTTTGGAGAGAAAAAAAGCTTCCCTCTACCACATTAAATGTTTCAATGCCATTTCTTCCTTTTTCCAAAACAAAAAACCCCAATAGATTAACACCTGTGTTTTCAATGCAAGTTACTGACACTGATATTTTGATTCATCAAGAGCAGCCTCATATGAGTCTGGCCCCAGTAGTCTGTGTGATAGCTAGCAAGCAGCCGCAGGGCAGGCCCTGATTCATGCCACAGCCTGACCACCTCCCAACTCTGTATCATTCATCTATTCGTCTCACCCATAGAAACTGAGGATTTGAAAAAAACAAAACAAACATCATATTTCCTTTTAAAAAAAAAAGGCTTACCATGGACATATTTGGACTTCAAAGGACCAGAGAAGAGAAGCCAGCCTCGGGGAGAACCTGAGTCCAGAGGGAACAGCCTACACAAGCTATGGCCGTATCTCCCTGAGAGAAGGGATAGAACGTTCCTGCTACAGCTCCCAACCCCAACAGATGGACCCGAACAGGGAGGCCAACAAATATGGGCCAGAGCTCACATCCTTAGAAAAGTCCAGACGTACTGGCCCAGGACAGCCCCAGAGACCCTCGGAGAGACTCTTGACACCTGGAACCCAAACTCTCCTCCAAGGTCACCTTTTGAGCAGCACACAAAATGAAGGGCAGTATCCACACGTACAGGGCTGTACCAATGAGACATCTGCTACAGGAGACCAAAGTGTCAGCGCCGACAGGACACGGATGGAACCACCAGAAGGCAACGGGAGCACCTTGACACACTGGAAAGCCTGTACGTCACCCCACAGTACGGCGACCAATTCACTACGCAAACAGGCCTCCAGAACACACCGAGAGTTTTTTTTTTAAATGATCAGAGAGCCCTTTGATAGTAGGCGCCTTTAGATCCTCTCTGGCAATAGCAACAGAACTAGGCAGCCCTGCTCCGACCACACAGCAGGCAGTCTCCTCGCTGGGGAGGCGATCGATGTGTGGCTGGTCGTGGGCCTCTTGTTCTACTTGGACGCTGTGCTTGGAGGGCTAAGTGGGGTAAGTGATGGAGCCCTCCTGTGAGCCTCGCGTGCTCCTGCTGCAAGCAGGCTCGGAAGCAGACTCCACATTCCTCAGCCTGTCCCTGTGGATGTCCCCAAGAGCCCTCTGCAGCACCCTCCAGGAGAAAGAGCAGCCGCCAGCTCCCTGGGGAGGATCCTGCAGACAGGCGTAGACCCTCTGTGCAGCTCAATCTGGGAAACAACGATGTAGGCATCAAACTAGGTGCACAGACTGGTGTCTTCCCTTCGCCGTGCAGTATGTGGGGGGCGCTTATCAAGCCTAGTGGTTTGCTGCTGTTGGTGGGTTTGTCGTTACGGTTGGTTGTTTAAGACAAAAACTGCCTGCACATGCCCCCCAAGGAGCTCCACTCTCAAGCGTCAAGATAGTTGCTCCTCAGGAGGGCGAGAGAAAAAAATGCAGTGGTTATCTTTTTGTTCAAAGTGGGGAGAGTAGCTAGAGGGGTGGAGGTCGGGAGTTGAAAATATTATTTGACAAAATAATTATTTTTGCAAGCTGCCACATTGGCGGGACAGAGGTCTGGGATTTGGCACAGAGGAGTGCCCGCCTCACAATCTGATGCCCACCACTGAGCAGACCACCACCTGCAGTGCAGGGCCAGGCACAGGGGAGGGGGTGCCACAGAGCCTGGCCTCTAGCCATGCTACCTCTCTTTGGGGCATTGGATCAGACATGGCCGATAACCAGCCAAAAAAGAAAGAAAGAAAGGAAAAGAAAAGACAGAGGCAAGGGGGCAGGAAGGGAGGGAGGGAACCCAAAATCTGGACTCTGAGGGTCCTTTTCAAACACTTTAATCCTTTCGTGCTGATGGTTCCTGGAGCGTCCGTGGCTGGCACTGGACCCTGTACCGGGAAAAGCCGACTCCCTAAGCCAATGCGTTAAAGAGGAGACTGCTAATCAGCTAAATAGAAACTGGAGTCTGTTCACATGCAGTCTCTTTTTTTCCCCCATCACCAGAGGGACACCACAGTGTTCTGAAATACACTCTTGACATCATTTGGCAGGCAACCCTATTTTGTTGAACATGATTCATCCCTTAGGTTATTGTTTTTAATATTAGAAAGTGAGCTTTTAAATGCCAAACAAATTTTGCAGCAGGGGGACAAAAAATATTCCAAGTGGTCTCACTGGACCTTCCACCAACTGCGTCCACCAAATGGCTTAAAAGGAAACCTTCCCAGGGTGCTTCAGAAATGAGGCAGAGGCCCAGCGATATGCAAGCGTTACCTCATGCCAGACTTTGTTCTTCGAGTTCACAGAGGCAGTGTTGACGGACTCGGGCGGAGCTCGAGGTGGCTCGAGCTCTGGAGTGCAGCAGCAAAGCCTCTGCAGAAGCTGGGCGCTGCGACAAAATGCTGCTGCTGGCTCAGGCCTACCTCCTGTCCATGTTGCCGCTGACCATGAGGCTGGGAGGACTGTCTCGGAGGTTGACACATGTGAAGTCACCAAGCGCATTCCCCAGCTTCGAGATGCAGCGTTCCGCTTCGAGACTGCACACCAGGATCTGCGGGAGGAAGCAACATAGGGGCTATTATGTCAGTACCGATACCACGCCTGCACCTTACGCTTTCAGGGATGGGAATGCCACCTGCCACTCGGCTCTTAGCAAAGGTGTTCTGCTCCTCAATGCCCCAGGCCTTTCCAGGTGAGGGGTGGCCAACCTGGGTGTGGGGGTTCCATAAGCAGCCAAAGAGTTCCTCAGGCCATGGTGCCAACACTCTCAGAGAAGACCGGAAAGAAACATGTACAATGGGACAGTTGGTATCCTGGCTGTGGCTGGCTGATGTTTCCGTTATTTGCATAGCAAAAGAGGTCTGGAATAAGGGCTGCTGACAGCTTCTGACTGGGATCGGATGGGAAAGCTACCAGGAAACTTGCGGGGGAGCCACCTGGGGTCCTCCTTCTGTCTCCTCGCTGTATTTACACCACGGGAAGAGGAAGCCAGCAGACGACACCCACACACCCAAACTGAAGCTCTTCCTGTCGTTTTGTCCACTGGCTAATTTTACAAAGTGCTGTCCCCCATGTACACATGAAGGTGAATAAGAAAGGGGGCTTCTCTCTCTGGGCAGAGCTTCCCTGCATTGGAGCACGTTTGTAGTGCTTTCCAGCAAGAATTTAACACACACACAAGCCCAATCCATATGGAGACAATGTAAGGTTCTGTTCTGCTTTTGATTACCAATCTTCATACTTCAACAAACACTAAATGCTTAGGATTATGGCTGGAAGTAAGGACCTTACTAAGTAATTGACACTCTCACCCCCAAAAAGATTAGTTAAAAATAATCAAGAACAAGTGGAAAGTGGGTGTTGTAAGAATGATGAAGTCAACATATGTACTAAAGTGCTGGGCACATATGATGTATGTACAGATTGTGATGAGTTGTATGAGCCCCTAATAAAATGATTATTAAAAAAAAAAGAGTGCCGATGTCACCAAACTGAAGCGTTTCCCTAGCATCAAGTGCTTTCAGGAGAAAATGACCTTCTCTGTCTTCGTAACCCTACAGTTGAGTCAGCTGTCAGGGTGGAGACCCATCACAGTGTCAGCACACGCTGCCCACAGGTGAAGCTCTGGCCACGGCTAGCAGCAAAAGCAGCTTCCAGTGTGAGTTAGTCATTCTTGGAAGCCAGGAGCTTCCGAAGGGAAAGAGGGCTGCGTTTCAGGCTTTCAAATGCCTTGCCTTACCCCATCAAGACCCTGGAGGACCAGCTCTAATGCAGCTGAAAACCAACGGTTCTGCCCTTGAAAATTTCAATAATTCTAAAACATCCAAAATAAGATTCTTCTTCCAACTGAGAATAAGGGAATCATCAACCGTCCTCACTACAGTTAATAACGTGCTCACATAAAGCCCGCTCTCCTGGAGAGACAGGGAGTGTGAGGAGCAGACTGCTCTGTCCCTCTTCCCGATCGGCACAGAGGGTTGCTGGGCGCCATGTTTTCTCGTTTATAATATACTTCAGTGCCTGTTGCAGGAAAGGAGGCTTATGTAATCAGCAAAATGCCGCCGGTAGGTACAAGAACTGAAATCTGATACTGATTCGGATTTTCGACAAGTTCTTTTTTGATAGGGGGAGGGCCCGTTTCTGAGTGATCTATTGAGCCCCGATCCCCTGCCAAAAACTAGCTTTCTACAAATTCATCATAAAGACATCGGAGTTCGGAGTCGGGAGTCAAGTATCTTCTAGAATGTTTAATAATTCAACGAATCAGAACTATCCACAGAGTACCTTTACCATGACGGTTAGTTAAAGACCACAGAGAGTAGAAAATACATTACCCGTCTCAGAGGCGGGTCTTTCCATGCTACAAGTCCCCGAACGACCTTTACCATCGCTCCCACCTCCCTCCCGCACTCTCTCTCTTTTAATAAGGTTGAGCAAATGGGACTTCATTTTATCTGATTGCCACAGACTAGTGAGATTAATTATTCATGTGCGCGCTCTCCCTCTTGTTAAGACCATGCATTAGACTAATTTTTCTCTTTATTGCTCTAGTTGGGTGAGTCTCGGTCCGTGGCCACTTGACTCGCTCTCAGAGGTGCACGGCGAGGCTGGAGAGAAGGAAAAAACTACCCGTGGCCAAAGTCCTGGAGACAATGCTCGGCACTAATGTGACCGCCAAATCAATAGCTGTTGTTGGGATGTTTGTCTTTAAGTACTAAGTATACGTTACAGAGGAGGTTAAGTAGTGATTACAGAGCAAAATTTTTAGCGGGGTTAGATGTTTCTTGAAGAATTCTCTACAGCAACCACACACGGTTCATCTGGCAGGACTGTGCAAAGGTGCCTGCATGGAGCACAGCGTAGTCACACGGCGCTGGGGCTTCTCTTCCCCTGGGCACATCGGACCAAACGAGCAGTCTGTTTAAAAAGAGCTTCGGGAGAAAGTTCCATGATCCGCACCCCCGTCTCCCCCCACTTAGAGACCTTATTTTCAAAAATCCCAGTCTTCCATGTTTAACTCGCAACTTTGTAGACTTATTCAGACTTTGCTGAAAGCTTTGATTTCTAAAGTCTCTTCTTCTAATTTCAAATAGGGTACAAGCTTGTACCACCGTCCATTGTAACAGAGTGGCAGCCTGCTCCCAGAGATAGCCAGTTAAGGGTGGGAAGGGAGGCCCTCGTATAACTTTCCAGCACACGCTTGTGTGTGTGTGTGTGCGTGCACACACACATTTTCTGATCTCTGCGTGGGATTAACGTTCTGAAATACATTTTCCCACAAAGCCACATGTCTTGAGAGTTGGTTTCTTGTCAGGACCTATCGATTGAGCTTGTTCCTAACGCCTTTCCCTTCCTCCCCTTTAAGATCGTGTTCTTTTTAATGACTGCACACTATTTCTCTGTGAATACATAATTCCACATGGACATCTACCTGGTGGTTTATCTTTTTTTATAGAAAAGAAATACTGCTGTAATCCAGTCAACAAATATTTATCAGTCATCTAAGTCCACGGCCCAGGAATGGACAGGGACAACCATGATGTTGGGCAGCTTCAGCCTGTTGCCAGTGGAAACCACCCCCCTCTTCACCAGCTGGTGCACGGCTGCCAGGTGCCCTGCTCCTCCATCCCCGAGATGTGCTCTCTGCGGAGACCCACCACCCAAGCGTACAGCTATGTTCTGGTAGCGGGTGTCGTGAGCACTAAGGCAGCTGCACAGGGTCAAGGAGGAGGTGGGAGTCACAGGCCCGACAGCAGGGAAGCATTAGCAACGTCCCTGGTGCGGGCAGGTAGGGCTTGTGACTTCTGGGTGACCGGGCCATTTAGCGTGCCCAAGCAAACCTGGGTTTCACTCGACCAAACCCTGAGCAATGGCTGCTGTCCTCTAACGGGGCGAACTCGGGGCAGGCCCACTTTCCTCCTCCACCGGTTCTGAACTAGACTGAGCACTTTAAACTGATCCTAAACCAGGGCTGGACATACCCACCCAAGTCAGCATCTGCCTGTAGTATACAGCAAGCACAGGAAGAGAGGATCGAGCCTTGCAGGCCCACATGAAGGGGATCAGACACCGGACAGACGGAGGGCACAAACTCCGTATACGCTTTTCCTGCTTCATTGTACCGCCTGGTACTCATCTAACTGGCATGATGCCAACTACCACCACCTGAGCTACTGGCTCTCCTCCTCCAAAGGGTCATGGGGGTGGTCAGAGAGCGCCCTTGCAAAACTAGAGCATTTTAACAGGCGTTGTGGATTAGCAGACAGCGTGAGCATCAGCCTCCACTAGCCCGAGACCAGGAGAACTGACGGCCACACCACGACTGGCCACTCTGCTTGGGATCACCAGAGAAGATTCTGAGGGGGGGTGGGGGGGCCGGACTGAGGCGCAAAGTTCAAAATCAGTACAGAAACCAGACTTACTGGTCCGACAGAGACTGGTGGAACCTCTGAGACGAGATCCTCAGATACCCAGGAAACAACAGGCTGGCCCGTCAAGGTAACTCTAACACCTGTGCAGTGAGTGAGCCACGCGGACCACAGGAGCAGCGCTTGTCCCAAACACAGCCCCGGAGGCAGGAGGGACAGGAAAGAAGGGTGAATGGAAACAGGCCGGGGGAGGAGGTGGTAGGAGGACAGTGACATGGAGTGGAGCTGCCACTAACGTCATGAAACAAAGCACGCAGACATTCTTGAAAGGAAAACCTTTTATTGTGGTTTGAGTGAACGTTTAGAGGGCAAATTAAATTGGAGAATTGAAAGAAAAAAGCCAACAACAACAAAGACCACCAGACTTGTCTTCTGGGTTTGAAATGGGTAGACACCCAAAGGAAGAAAGACAGCATTTGCTGTTCAACACTCAAAGAAATAGAGAGGCACGTGGATCAATGATGACTTGCTGCTGCCAGTTTTAAGGGGGGAGTGACGAAACCACAGGCGAAGCTTTCCCAGATCGGCGCCGAGGCACCGACAACAGGCTTGGGAAAGAGTGGGTGGCGATTCCTGGACATGGCAAAGTCTACCACATTTCTTTTCAGATTCCTAGTAATAATTCCCTTCCATGGCTACCACAAAGGAGGGGCTTCACAAATTTTGTGGGACACTCACAGGGTCTTTTCGTTCTATTTCTATGAACTTTTTGAAGGTGCCCCTCCCGCCCCCTGCACAGTGTGCTCTTCTGAGAAAGGAGAAGTCCTCAAGGCCAACGTGGAGAGACGGCGCCAGCACCCCCATGGTGGCTCCTGCTCCCGCCCAGTCAAGGTCACTTTGTGCTCTCCGCTTCTTGTCATCACAGGTTTACTACCGACATACTTCACCCAGTGCTCCCTCGCCCTGCACTGCACAGCGTCGGCCTCCACGAGGGCAGAGCTATCATCTCAGGAGCCTGAATTTAGCAGGTCAGGCGAGCACCTGGGAGGGGCACTGTTAATCCATACCATGCCAGGGGTTGGAAAGTAACTGTCCTTGACTCATGAGACTACACGCTCCTTGGGGCGGACATCTGATCATTCAATCAGCGTGAATAAGGGCAAGTGGCAGGGACGGTGCGAGT